TTGATAGGACCGAAGGGTAGTTCAGGCACCCCAGTTATGTCTGATAATATGTTATGTTATGATATATGTGATAGTAGCAGTAGGGGGTGAAATAGTCCCCGAGGATCGGTTCTTAGGGCCGATGGGTAGTCAGCACCCCAGAATGGCTTGACATGGGTAATCAACACCCCAGAACGACTTGACACGGGTAGGTCGGCACCCCAGAATGGCCGTACCGGGTAAGTCGGGCACCCCAGAATTGCCCGGCAGTATGTATGATATGTGATTGTATGGTATGTAGTATGATGGAGGAACTCACTAAGCTTCGTGCTTACAGTTTTCAGTTTTGGTTTCAGGTACCTCTTCTTCGAAGGGGAAGGAGCTGGCGCGGTAGCAGCACATCACACACACGCTTTGTATTCCGCACTATGAGATCTTCCTGGGGATTTGTACTCTGACATTGTTATGTTTTTATAAACTGGTTTCCAAACACGCACATCTTTTATGAAATGATATGATCAGTGAATGTTTTATTTCTAATGTTTTGCTAAGTATGTGTTTTAAAAATGAAATTTTTGGCTCGTATTTTTGGGACGTTACATTTTTATAGAAAAATTAGGTTGGGTTGGATTTTAATGGGGATAGCCTAAGTGATTAGGGGTGGAAATCGTTGTACATTACCAATGTTTTAAAAATCGGTTTGAACAGACAGGTTGAACCGGTGCTGGACCAGGAACCGAGTGAGGGAGCGGTTCAACTATCTCCTGTTTTATGTCGATTTCTAAACTGGATTGAATCGGCCGGTTTTTAGAAAAACCCGGTTGAATCGGTCAAAATAAACCGGTTGAATCAATTAACCCAAATAAAAACACATGAAAAAGAATCAATTATATAATAAACTTTGGTGATTTTTTTTTTCAAATCTATTTAGTTTTTTCTAAATAAAAACATATGATAAATGTTATTAAGTTTTTTGATTTGTTTGTATTAATCTAAAACTATATTTTGTTTCGCTATTATATTTTATTTTGTTTTTAACGTATATGGATTGATGTAAAACACTAAAACTTATGGTTATGTGTTATTTTAATGTATTTGGATTCATCTCCAACTTATTTTTATGTTTATTTTTAATATTTGAACTTGTAAACATCAAATTCATGATTTATGTATGTATATATGTGTAGAAAAATATGAAAAAAAAAACATGAAAAATATTGAAACCGGTTGATCCGGCGGTCGAACCGGTTAAACCGGTTGAACCGAGAAACGCTCACCATACCGGTTCAACTAAAAACCTGATTTTGAAAATTTCAACATTATGGAGGCAAGGGAGGTGGGGTGTACTATGTTTTCAACTTGCAAGTTGCATCATATTTTTTTAATATACAAAAAGGTCCTTAATCTTATATAAAATTTCATTTCGTAGTTTTTAAATTTAAAGTTAAAATCAATAGCATAACAAATATTTTATACATAGTTCGGTGTAAATGAAATCTATTTGATACTTTGATGGTTTGTTTTGATGTGTTAATAGTTGGGTTTCAATTTTGTTAAATTAGTAACACTTTGATCATCCTAAAACTAAGAACATTATAGTACATGTCTCGGCAACTACAATTACTCATGAGTTTCTTTCTGCAACTACATGCCTTAGCATATTTGTTTCATACATTTTACATACTTTCAGAAAAAATGGTGAAAGTAGTTCACCCATTAAGTGAAAGTTGAGACATAACATTAAAGTTTAGAAAGCATAACAAAAAATAAAATTACAAGCATTTGTTAATGCAAAACACTATGTGTAAGTAGCATAGGAATTCGTTATTCATGACAATGGGCATAAATAGGTGTTATTTTTTTGACACAGTCTTATTTGGTTTATTCATTTAAATGATTATAATGAAGATCTTTGGGTATTCATAGCAAGGTATGGTTCCAAATCTTGTGTTTGTATCATTTTCTAGAATTATCAGAAAGTTAGGCTCGAGTTAAGGTTTTTTAGACTTGAAGAAATAATAATGTAAGTTTTTATATAATGTGTTATACTTTTATTTTGAATAAGAAGTGTTATGAGGACTTTTTTTGAAACAACATTGTTGGGTATGTTTAAGAAATTAGGTCATTAAGCATTAAGTTTATTATGTAGGTTTGATTCAAGGTTTATGTAAAAATTGAGGTTTATGTTTGATGCCATATACTTTTCACACAATCATGTTATATGTGGATTTTGAAGTTGATTGATGTGTTTGATTTTTTATATGAAGTTTTAATGTGTAAATACACATAATGATTTTACCATTTAAGATATAAAGGATGTTGCATGATTAAACAAATATTTAGAGTAAATTACATGTTTGGTCCATGTGATTTTTTTTTTCAAATTCATACTATTGAGTATCCGATCTGTTTAGCCTTTGGTTGCCTTCATTACTCTTCTATGGATCTGGAACTAGTATCTAACGCCTTGTTCCCGAGTTTAACAAAAGAAAAGAAAAGAAAAGAAAAGAAAGTCATGAGAGAAAAGAATAGAAAAGAAAGGAAAATAAAATTTTCTTTTGTTTTCCTGAGTTGAAGAGAAGTGGAAGGAAAATGAACCATTTTGTTCTTTCCAAATCGGAAGGAATGTTAGGAGGGATCACTGATCCTCTCATATCCCTTCACTTCCTTCCACTTCTCTCCTTTAATGAAACTCGGAAACACCAATTTCTTTTATTTTCTTCTCATTTCTACCCATTTCCTTTCATTTCTCTCGTTAAATTGAACTTGGGAACGGGGTGTAAATGATAAAATGAAGTAATTAAGTTTACAAACCTTGATTTTGATAATTAGGAGTTAATTAGTGATTAATTACTTAGTTAATTATGATCTTATAGATAATCTTTAAGCATCCGTACATCTAAGAAAAGTGATAGAATCTAACATAAACGCTTGAGGTGAGTATATTACCCTAGAGCAGATGTCCCCTTTTATGAAATAATACTTTGATATGTTTTCCAATTGTTGCAATACAATATGCATTGCAATACCATATGTATTTTATGGTGCAATTCATACATTCTACGTGTTGAGAATGAGTATTTGAATTGGACACATTTTACTTTGTGTTTTCAAAAAGAACTTTGAATTTGAAAAATCATAATCATGTGCATATATTTTCATTGGGTAGATTTTGAGACTTTATGGTTTGGACATTACGATGACCTAGATATCCAGTATGGGTAACTATAAGGGTTATTGTCACTGTAGTCCAACAATGTTTTGTATATTGGTTTAAATGGTTCTTCGTGACTTTTTTTTTGCCTTTTAGGGGTATGTACTTATGTTTTACCGTTTTAAAATGTCATTATCAAAAATATGAAGGGGTCACCCAGTGAACCCCTTCTTAATCATCAATTTTGATTTGCCGCTTGGCATTCACTCAACTAAAAAAGTCAACAAACCCTAACAAGCATTACATATTCGAACCCAACAGACCTGTTCTTCGTTGTGGCGTCTTTTTTGATGCGCAGTGAGTGCGGAGCATAACGGTGTTGGTTTCCGACGTCGTTTCGCAGGATGAAGAAGTAGTCGACACGTAATTCTCTCTTCGTTTTGGATGTTTCAGAGGTCGGAGTGGTAGGAGTGGTAAGTACCGGTGGTTTTGATGTCTAGTTGTTATTTGGTGGTGCTCTGGTTCTCTTACTGCTTGATCTACTGTGAAATGACCTGTTCTGTGGTCAGAAGTTTATAGTTTCGACTATGAGATTAAGCTTCACAATGATGCACGTGAACAAAATCCCCAAAATAAAACTCAAGACAAAAGCACAAAGTTTAAGCTGGTTTTGCCATTGCGGAACCTTCCTACTCGCGAATAACCTCGCAACTGACTCCAACTCTGTCTCTTCCATGCTTTTCTTCTCTTCGTTTCCGTTCTATAAGTCATCTTCCAGTGAAATGTTTAAAGAAGTTCATTCCATCTTCATAACTGATTTTTGAGTTCTGATTTTGAAATTGATGACTCTAGAGATGAAATTGAAATCTTTAAGTGTGAAGTTTAGGTCTAATTAATAGTTTTGTGGCTTTGAATCTATGTATTGTTACAGGGGCATTTGAATCGGTGGGAAGGCGACGAGATTGTTCGTTATGTTGCCAGTGATTTGCAGACAATAGGAAAGATGTAAGAGATGTGGGTCATTAACATGAAAGAAGCTAGAGAACAAAAGTCGACTCAAGGATTCCGAGATTGTGTTTTTGAAGGAGAAATTTGAGGAAGCTGAAAGGGACAACAAATTGATCGAGAGTCGATTGAATTCGAGTGACCCTTTATCGCATCACGAAAGCCTTCATTTCTCAAAATTGACTCTAACCAATTTCGTATTAGCTCTCAAGCACACCATGAAACCGATTCGAAGTCTGTGAAGCTCATGACTACTGAAATGAAATATTCAAATTGGGATCTGGATGCAGTGGCTTAATTATTCTTGGCTTTGAATATTGTCTGGGAACAGTTTCTCAGCGAGATCTTTAGTCTCGAGTGATGGGTACATGGATGGAGCTAAAGAATTTGATGATGAAAATAAGGAATATGAATACGGGTTTGATTGATCGACTTGTGGGTATAGATTTTTAGAGGAGTGTGACACCATCTTTAATTGTAGTTGTTGTAGGTTTTATAGATTCTGGGGATATTGTTGACTCACATGTTTACTTGGCACTTGACAAAGCAATGTTACCTTCTAATGTGGGTAAAAGTACCAAAATGACCGGTAAAATACAATTGGATACCCTTTAAAGGCTAAAAAAACTTATGAAGGACCATTTAAACCATTATACTAAAGATTGTTGGGCTACAGTGACAATAACTCTAACTATAAAAGGTGTTCAATGTGGTTTACTCATTATGTATGGTATTTCATTTGTTAGAATTGCATATAATTAATGTTATTCTAATCGTCTGTGTCCAAATTATTACTATCTAATCCCCCCACCCTTCCTAATAACGACAAAAGGGGCGAATAATTGATTCAAATAGGAGTCACAAGTTAAGGGTGAGCCATCATTCTCTAAAACCAAATGAAAGAAAAATATATTGTTGGAGATGAAGGAGATTATTGTAAAACTTGGCACTTGGCTTTTCGTTAAAAGATGATGATGCTAAAGATCTATTTTGTTTGTCTTTTTCATTGTTTGATATTTTAGTGAAATCTGAAAACAAAAACGCTTTATTCATCCTTGATTTCAGATGAAAACGTATATTTTGACATAAACGATAGCATGTTCAACTCTGTTTTCATCAATGTTCAATCGGCTAATTCATTGGATAGCATTTGACATCATTTGGTTTGAGCTCTTAGCTTTTCATTCTTACAGAGAAAACCTAAATCTGCATTAAAAATATAGTTTCACATCATTCTTTTTGTTCGAATCATGATTGTCTCTCTTAAAACAAGTTGAATAAAAGCCTATAATTCACAACCAACAAGAGGGTTTACTAAAGATCGTTTCAAAAGGTGAAAAGAGAAAAACATAGAAACTTACAATAAATGATGCTCTTGAATTTAGTATAAAATGAGAGGAATGTATACTAGTTCAAATATAGTTAACCATTTTAATGGAATGTCACAAATAAAAAATTAAAAAAAAAAAAAAATAAAAAAAAATCAAGCTGACCTTTTTAAGTTCTTATAGTGAGCTTATGCATTGCAGCATTCACTCTATCATCAGTTATCATTTTATGGGCATCATAGAAATCAAGTATTTCCATTGCTATGTTCTTCACCTATCAAACAAAAATAACTCAATAAAGACTTTCAAAACATTCATAAACATCACCAAAAGAAATGTGAATTCAAAGCTTTTACCACATTCATGTCAACTCTTAGATCTTCAAACCAAGCAGTGTTCTCTTTTTCCCTGAGCACACTTGCCACATAAATGCAGGCTAATCCAATCAGATGTGGTGGATGCACCAGAATTAGATCTGTCTTATAAGTGTCATTCACAAGTCCCCTAATCAACAATTTCATAAAAGTAAAAACAAAATCAAGATTCATGTAAAGATAGTCAAATTTCAAAACATGTTCAAAAAAAGTCAATACCAAGTCAACTGAGTTGCATCACTCATCCCAGCATCTTGAACCAACCTGTTTAAGACAAAACTCAAATCTTTCTCAAAATATATATATTTTTTTTAAAAAAGAAAAAAAAAAATGGGGTCTTACTGAGATAATGCACGATAAGGATGGAAGACAACAAGATAATAATTGAGAGCTTCCAAGATTTTCATTTCCATTTCAAGTATTTCTTTTATTTCACATCGGTACTTTTCATCTGCATCTACAAAGAAATGACATATTGCTCAACACCACCATTTTCCAAAGTTGAATATATTTATTAAGAGAAAGTTCTAAAAAAAAAAATTATTACAGAATTTTTTTATGTAGAATACAAGAAGTCTTGCTTGCACAGTGCTTTCTTCAGATTTTGCTGCCAAATACAAGCAAGATGGAGCTAGTAAACGAGGGTCATATTCGGTCATACTTTTCCTGTGAAGATTGAAAAAAAAAAGATGAGGAGGGTATTAACGTCTTTTGTAAAGAGAAAGTGAGACAAATATTCTTATATAACAAAAGGGGCATCTAAGAAAGTAGAAATAAATACCTTGTATAAACACGTCTCATATATGTTACAGCAGTTGCAACAACCCTGAAAGAGTAAACCAATGAAATGATCATATACACTAATGCAACATAATAAATAATTTGAGAAAAAATTGTGAACTACATGATAACATGCCTAGACTAAAGATCATGATCAAATGGGTTTTATGGATGGATTACAAGAAGATGTATATTGATGGATGCATTAAAGCTAATGACTTGACACGAAAGAGAGAAGTTAATACAGTGAAAAAAAGATATTTATAGCAACAAAAACTTTGAGGCTAACCTTTGCCTCACTTTCACATTTTGAGCCAATCTCGCAATGTCTGGAAGGAAAAACAAAAAAGAGAAGAAATACAAAGATTAAGAGACTGAAGACTAAATATTAGACGTAAACAAGAGCATTGTATATCAATCGAGAATACAGTTCTTGATATTATCTTAATAATCAGTCTTCTTAGTGAAAATCGTAATCACGAGCAGTTTTTTTCAAACGCTCTGCATCCAAATCCATCTTATACGAGCTTAAGAATAATCAACTTTTCTTACTCGATCGGATATGTACACAACAATGCAAAGTTATATCCAAAAACCCCAAATTGGATTTGGCAAAATCCGCAACTTTTGGGTAGTAATAATCGACAGAATCCAACAGCATATGATCAACAGTAATGCAGATAGATGATCAACTACTTATGAGTTTAACAAAAATGATACAGATAAACAGAAACAAAATCCCACAGAATGATACGATGATTCAGTCAATTAAATATAAACTTAAAGGGAATTAGACCTAGATATACACACAGATAGAGAGGTACATACAGTTGGTCATCTGCAACTTGATGAGCTTGAAATCTTCGAGGGTAATTCCCCTCTCCCTATCGAGGTTATGCACCACATCCACTTCTTCTTGGTCCAATAATTCCTTGCTACGCACAAACAATACCATAAACAGAATTATCAATTAGCAATTCCGATTGTTTATTCGAAAATCGACCGACTGGGATAATGTTACGATCAAACAAAAATTCAACACACGAAACCCTAACATTGAAGGTGATCGAAGGGAGGAAAGCGGGCAACGGAATCTTACTAGTGTGTGGATGCCCAGAAATTAGTCGCCATTTTTGTTTCTGGTAGGAAAGACAAAAGGAGGTTGGAGAAATTGCAGGTTATGGAATCGAGTTATGGGCTCTATCAATGCAAACTGGAGGTAAGGCCTATATCATAACTCATGAGTCTTGAAAACTGGAAAGTGGTATGTGGATTATGATACTTTAACATTAGCCCATGTCTTTTATATGCACGTTTGGGGTTCTAAGTTTAAACTCGATATGTGTTTGAAGACAATTGTTTTAAATCGTCTTTTAATATTATTCTATGGATTAAGTTTTGACCTATTCCCTAAAAAAAATATTTGAGAGGTATATATGATTTCAAAGTTTTTATCATATCTCATAGAAAGATGATCATTAAGGGTTGTTTGGTAGAAATCGAATAATTTGATGCTAAACCGTTAAGAGGCTTTAATGATTTAGTGATGTTTAGTAAGGTTGCTGAAGGGATCTACTAATTATAAAAACTATCATTTTAACTTTTCTAACCAAAACAACTTCAAATAACAAAATTATGATTTAACGAAATCCAAAATTACAAAACATAAAATGAAAGAGTAAATATCTTAACTACTAGCTCGTTTTCAAATAACGATTCACTAGTTACAAGTCATCAAAGAAGACTGACAAAGGTGAAGAGGTTGCAAGTTTGACAAATACACCAAAGGTGATTGTCGTTGTAAAGACGAAAAATGTTTTTATTCCTTGCTAAAATAGATAATCTCAAGAATTACATACCAACAAAGGTAATTATTGTTGAGAAAGGTGAAGTGTTTCTAGTTTCTACTTATTAATCTAGTTCTATCATCCATATATATATATATATATATATATATATATATATATATATATATATATATATATATATATATATATATATATATATATATATATATATATATATATATATATATATATATATATATAGGTTCAGGTTCATTTGAGACCATTCTAATTTTGTGAGACCGTGAGACCAAATCTAAAAATAATTTTAAAATGCAAAATAAATGTAAAAATCCAAAAATTCTTTTTTTATATATTATTTTCGGAACTTGAATTAATGAAAAAAAATTAAAAAAAATCTCGTTTTTTTTTTGAAAAATACGTGAAATATTCTAAATAGAATATTACACTGATATATTCTAAAAAATAATTTAAAAATGCAAAATAAATGGAAAAATCTAAAAATTCTTTTTTTAAATATTATTTTTCGAACTTGAATTAACTAAAAAAAATAAAAATAAAATCCTATTTTTTTTGGAAAAATACGTGAAATATTCTAAATATAATATTACACTGTACATATTCTAAAAATAATTTTAAAATGCAAAATAAATGGAAAAATCAAAAAATTCTTTTTTTAAATATTATTTTCAGAACTTGAATTAACTATAAAAAATAAATATATAAAAAAAAAATACGTCTCACGGTCTCACAAAATTAGGCCGTCTCATATGAACCTAACCCTATATATATATATATATATATATATATATATATATATATATATATATATATATATATATATATATATATATATATATATATATATATATATATATATATATATATATATATATATAATCGGTCTCAGCGGCCGATTAATCAGCGATTAATCGTTTGACAGCCTTAAACTGATTACAATTAGGGTGCTTTGTGGAAATTGGTCAAAGTCGGCCTTGGCGGTCATTGGCGAACCTTGGCGGTCATAGGCGGGAATTTTTTTAAAAATTCAAAAAATTTTAAATTTTAAATATTTTAAGCTTTCAAAATTTAAAATGTTAAACTAAAATTTTCAAAATTTTAAATTTTCAAATACTTAGTTTTTTAGGTAATATTAAATTTTTAAATAATTTTATTAATAATTAAGGGTCTCCGATTAATCAGCGATTAATCCCCGCCTAGTCCGATTAATCGTTTATCGTCAGTCGACCGCCGAACGATTTTTACAACATTGATATATATATATATATATATATATATATATATATATATATATATATATATATATATATATATATATATATATATATATATATATATATCATAATGTGAGATATGGAAGGGATATAGAGGATCTTGAGTCAAACCAAGAACTCAACTCACAAAGGTAAGTAAATATCCTATAAAATCGATCCATCAACAACTTTATATTCTTACCATAACAATTCTTTATTTAAATGATAACAATATATTAATGACATGGTCACAAAATTATCTAACAATCTCCTACTGGACCATGAATATCTAAATGTACATATAACCATATTAGCGTTTTAATGTATATTATCATAGATTTGGTACCCTTATTAATTATACTTATATAGGATCAAAGGGGTCTTTATACAATTTACGTAACTAAAACTATCAATGGTCACATATACATATATAACTAACGACATAGATTATTCATGATGTTTGGTTTCAAAATCAAAATAGATTTCCAGTGAGTTCCTCTTTTAACTTGAAATGAGATCAAACTTCAAATAAGTGTAACTAATAATGGAATTAACCAAGTCCTTAATTTTGTACAGAAAAAACATAATTGTTCATAAACAGAATATAAAACACCAATAAAACTCCCACTATAACAAATCATCACATCAATATGTGTAGAATGATCATGAAAGACCTTGTGAGATAATCCATTCTTGAGCGGATCCGCTATCATGGAGTTTTTCCTGACGTGTTATATAAATATTTGTCCAGTTTCACCTTTTTCTTTAACGGTCAGAAACTTAATATCAATATGATTTAACTCAGTATAACTTTTGTTGCTGCTGGAATATAATATTACTAACTTATTGTCACAACTTTAATGGTCTTTCAATATCAATAATATGCAGTCTCGTGACAAATTCCTGTAACCATGTTCCATGATTTTATGCCTCATATCATGCTACACATTATGTTGCCATTATGGAAGAAGCTACCAAAGTCTATTCCATGAAATGGCTCATCATGCTAACATGTAAAAGTATCCCAATATGGATCGGTAACTACTTTATCTTCTAATAAAATCATATTCCTAATACAAATGATCTCCAAAATCTATGATTTTCTATAGTTGAGCATATAGCCTTTTGTTATCTATAAATATCATAAACTCGTTTGATGCTTAATTATCAATGATCCATAATTGGGTTTCTTAGATATGTACATAATATCCCTATAATATAGGGATGTATACATACTGAGCATACATTAGATTCCCAACAAATAAAATGTAATGAATCTTCTACATCTCTCTAACTTTAAGGTCAAATTCAGGGTACTGTTTGAGACTAAATATGTCTCTTTTAGCAACAAGGGTGTCACCTGGTTTGTACTTTGCATGCAAAATCTTTCAAGGATCTTATCGATGTAGCTCTTATATGATACTCCTAGGATTCCACAAGATTTGTCTCGTTGAATATGGATTCCTAATACAAAACAGGCTTCCCCAAGATCCTTCATTTAAGAATACTTTAATCTATTGATGGCAAGCAATATGTCATCAACATACAAAAGCAAAGAGATATATTCGTTCCCACTGAATTTGTGATACACATAATCACCTATTGTATTTACCTCAAAACCAAACTAGATAATTAAATGATGAAATTTGTGGTACCACTGATGGGATATCCTAAGTTGAGGTAGGAGATTTAATAATATTGTCGGTACCTGATTCTTAATCTGTATACTATTGAAAGCAATAATAGGAATCAAGATTTATTCCTCCTTAAGAACATTGTTTTTAACCTTACTTCTCCCCCAAACTCAACATCCTCAAAAGATGTTGCTTTATCCAAAATGCAAGTTTAATATCCATGAAACTAAGAACTAACATAATTCTCTCATTTCATTCCTTAAAGTTAGTTTCATTAACCACATGAATGTGATCAATGTTGGCAAATATAATGCCAAAATTCAAATTTGTTATTTTGACAGCATAACTAATCTTAGTTTTATGCTCATTAACTCATAAACAATAATCAATAAATTCAATATAGGACATCTTTACAAGGTATCGACACAACTTTAATATCAAGTCTTTGGACACTAATACTAACTTGCAAGAGATATCATTGTTTTAGTGCAAAACATTAACACTAAATCATGTCAATTAACAAAGTTCTCTTTGGATTGACTTATTAATCACATGTAACCAAAAAATCGCTACATGTTAATCACAACATATATGTTTATTCGATCAAATATTAGTTTACATTTGAGTCGGCTAATACTCGCATTAATAAACACATAAACTATAAATTTTGATAATAAGAATTGACAATAAATTATGTCAATTAATAAGCTATTCTTTGGATTGAATTATTAATGACATGTAACCTAAAAATTATCGCATATTTATTATCAAACATGTGTTTATCCAGTCAAATATTAACCTACCTTTGGGTCGATTAATATCTGCATTGATAAACACATAAGTCATAACATTTAAATTCCATTTAAATTAATTTTTAGAAAAAAATCATATTGGTAACATATTTTGTCTATTATTTACCATGAAAATAAATAACATGTCAAATCTTAAATGCATGAAAATTTGAATATATCAACAATAAATTGTCAATCTAAATCAATCTCCAAATTTCCAATTCATACGCATATTGGAACAAAAAAAAATTGCTTGCATTAACACCGTAAAAAATAAAAAATGAGAGTAAGATGTAAATCTTAAACAAAGATATCCATAATATTTTATATTTATCAAATCATAATTCTAAATTCATTTAACGGGATGGTGTGCTTTAATAAGAGATGAATCACATAAATTAAATGTACCTAAATATATATTGCATTTAAATGTATAATTTTTTTAAAAATCTTAGAAAGATAATTCATAAAATAAAAGTTCAAAACATATCGATTGAAGGCAAACGGGCAACAAGCTGCGCCGCTGGTCTTTTCTGGATGGCAAAACCAATTCTTTTGAAAACAACATTTGTGGATCTAGGAGATATGACATTAGAATGCATGATCCGTTGGACTCTATTTAGGAGCTCCACCGCCTCAGGTGCGAGAAAACCAAATGTATCGAATGCAAAAGGAACAAACACATGTTGATTTTCTCTACATGCATTCTCGTGTTTTACCACTTTGCACGCAGCGGCTTTCAAAGCGGCATGCCCAGCTGTGAAATCCCTGCTCCCCAAACCAACGAGAGGAGAGACCCTAGTAAGATCCACGCATACATGCTTCACTCCTATCCATCCAAAGACCAAAATGTCAGCCGGTCTAAGTGTGGACCTGTCATC